AGAGCCTAAATACCACGATCCACCTACAAGAAACAAAGAAAATACAAACCTCGCACACGGAGAACAAAACTCCCAACGAGAGAACCGAAACCCAACCCTACAACATAGAAAAACACCACAAAGAAGACACACAAAACAAGAACACCACAAATAAAAATAGTAAAATACACTTAATACTAGACTATACTAAAGCCCTCCTCCACGACAGACAATAGCACCGTACCTTTGCCACTCGAACCAAGCACGATATTAATACCGACAAACACGACAACGACAAGGACCCTAACGTCATAAAACTCGTACCGGACCGTCAATACCACAGCCTGGCCGAACACCAAGAGCACACGCTACTCTCGGCCCCCACACAATTTTGATACTCTGTACATTTTTACAAGGTTCATCTCTGCTAAATAATTTAGTCAGTGTTAGTCGTTGGATGGTGTGCCACAATGTGGCTTACTAAAGAAAGCGGTACACGATACCAAACAAACTAATAATCATAAAAAAACACAAAATATCAACCGTCAAAAAAAGAAAAAAAAAAATAAAAATAAAATTGATTTTTCAGTATTCTCTGCAATATGCCAATATCCCATTTCTTATTATTTCTCTGTCTCTCTCTCTCTCTCTCTCTCTCTCAAATTTCGTGCATTTTAAGAAGAAAAGAAGATGTCTGGTGGATTTTCTCCAGTCTCTTCAGCTCCTCTTCTTTGGAAATCCAGAAAAAAATCTACTGGTAATTCTCTTCTTTTACTTAATTTTTGCAGGGAACAAACAAAAAAATCAGAACAAAACATTTGTTTGCTTGATTTTGAATTCTTTTTGCTTCAAATTCATTGCTAAATGTTGTTTGGGGTCCAAGAACTCGGTATTGTTCACGGTTTTGCTATAGAGCCATCAGATGGCTCGACTTATGGAGTCATCATGATTTTTTCACAAACGGTATATTCACACGTGACATGCAATAAATATATATTGGACACGTGGCAATACATAAGTAGCTCCATAAAAGTGGCTCCATAGACTTTCTGGTTTGCTACATGCATGCTTTTCTTTCACTCCAAATTTTGGTCCATTCTGCAGCAATAAGTTGGCAAAATGTCCTAAACAACCAATTTTGAATTAACTAATAAAATTGAAAATGCATAAATAAAAAGTATATCCAATTTTCAAATTGTTTGATGGGCTGCTCTTGAAAATTCTCGTCGAGCAGCCAACACGAAGAAGAACACGAACGAGGCATTAGACAAACCGAGCACTGATCAAGAGAAACTAGAACTTGTAAACAACAACATATCTATCATCTCCGAAAAGCGTAAGGCTCTTTTCGAGCCGCTCGAGCCAGCAGTCAATAGCGTGAATGGAAAACGCCCTTCAGCTGAATCCCTACTCCCGCCTCCGGATTTCGAGCCCGCAAGCTATCCTAAAGGTTGGCTGATGGGGAAGAAGCGGAAGCTCGTCAATGTGGATGTTGTCGAGAGCATGCGAAGGATAGCCGTTCAAGAAATGAACCGGAAGGTCGTTTTCTAAGATTAGCTTCAAGTATATTATTGAGGTTTTACCTTTCTTGCAATTAAAAAGAAGTCATTTCCTTGCAATACTTCCAATAGTGAGACATCGCCTCTTTTACAAACAATTTAGAAAAAGAAGCATGATTTTGAAGTTCAAACTAATATGAATTTTCAAATGATGCGTGCAGGATAGAGAGATCGATGGGCTTAACGAGCAATTAGAAGAGGACTCACGGTGCCTAGAGCACCTTCAGCTGCAGCTTTTAGATGAAAGGAGCAAACGAGCTGATGTCGAGAGACAGAACGCAATGCTTCAGAACCAGATAACGATGCTTATGGACATGCTGCAACAGAATGAACCAGTGGATGAACATAGGAATTGAAGTTCTGTTGCTGTTTGTATGTTAATAGTCCTAATTACATGTGCTTGTCTATCCTTTATGTACATGTTCTGGTATATGTATACATATAACTGTAGGGACTAGATGTGAAAGGTTTGTGACTTGTGTTAGCTGCAAATTGCATACCTGTGTATGTTCTTTAAAAAAAAAAATCTGCATATTTTATTGTAAAACCAACTGTAACTAAAAGTGATCACAAGTTCAAGAAATGACCAACAAACATACGAACCCTTGAGTAAAGGTGTACAATTTTCGAATACAAATAAACCGCCTACAATCGAACATAAAAAGTTTCAAATACACAAATGACACGGTATAGCAGAGGACCCATCATCAACCTCGATCTCCGAATCCCCCAAACCAAACAAACAAACTATATAAACCGAAAGGCACAACAATCAAATCAACCAGACAAATCACAAATGACGAAACAAACCCTACACTTCACTATACGCTTGAACAAGAACCCCAATTCACTCACCCCCAGGCCCCCGAGTCTCCAAATCCTCTGAAATATTGAACAAGAAGTGAGGCAGGGAGGCTATCCTTGGCAGGTTCATCAACAGGTCCCCAACCGAGTCCTTCCTCGCCATATCCGCCGGGCCCACATCTCCTTCACCTTTTGTGTTACCGTATTCACTTTGAGAGGGAGGGTGGTTATTGTTGTCTTTCTGGAGGAGGCAGCAGAGGGAGTTGACCCTGGACATGAGGGACTTCTCGTCCGGTGGAATTTGGGAATCTGAGAAGAGGCAGCGATTGATGTCATCGAGAATCTGGAGGCTCTGCCACTCCTCACTCGAGAGGATCGGGTTTTCGGGCTGCTCCGAAATGCGGTTCTCCAGGTGGCTAACCAGGTCTATCATTGACATGGACGAACGGAGGCCTGGGACCATCATCTCTTCCCACTTCCCCACCTCTTTCAGGTTCAGCTGCTCCACTGTCGGCCTATCCATGGCTGTGTGTGGAAAGATATGAAAACGTGATTATGTTTATCTAGTTTACTGCTCATCTTTTTCTTTCTTGATTCCATTTTTTTTTTAAAGAAAATGCCTCAAACGCGTGAGCTAAGTTCTAAGCAATAAAAAAATTGATATCTTTGCAGAAAGACTCATATTTGACAGGATCGAAAATGTGAAAGGCCTTGACATGGTTTAAATAATATTTCTCTTTGAGCTTTAAAGTTGTGTTTAGAGCACTGCACTAACTCACCAAGGGCAGACGACCTAAGGTACACATACCGCATTCCTGAAACTTCTGAATAAGCTAATAAATGATAAGGGCGGTGATCTTTTATCTGAGAGGAAAATGAACATAAGCTTCTAAGTTCAACCAACAAAAAGAAAAATGTCGGTAATCTTGATTTCATGATATTAAAGAATATTGACATTTAGGGACAGCTAAAGACGTTGACAAAATACACCATTTCACATGGACAAAGACTGAACAAATTGCAAACTACAAGAATATTGAACAAGACTGGAAATGCAACATACACCGTCTTAAATGATGACGATAGTTTTACAAAACATGAAATGAATTCCATCAAGATAATTATTTCCAGTGATGAAACTAACCTGATACCGGCGATGGTGTTTCACGAGTGTAGGATCCCGAGTGTCCGCCAGTTGCATCTATTATATCATTCTTTGGGGAAGAAGACTGAACACCAGATGGTGAAGCAACATCCTGCAAGCTGAACAACGAAGAACTTCCTTCAGCATTCAAATCGAAAGTGTCTTTGCTTTCATTCTGGTCATCAAACACGGATATTCCCGGTTCAAAATAAGGAGAATCTATAATAATCTCTCCTTGTTGACTGAGAATGTTTAAGCGGGGATCACATTGCATCAATTTCTCAAAATGTTTTCCCAGTAGGCCTTGTGGGCACTCCAGATAGTGTTGCCTGCATCAGAAAAATAAACACGAGGTCTTTGTGAACATGCATGTTTGAAAATGCAACTAGAAAGAACAGTTCTTTACAAATGTTATCCGTAAGGGTATGGATTCGATTCAAGAACACATGACTATGGGAAAAAGAAACATTAATGCAGAAAGATCGAAGGGAGCCAATTTCCGCAGCTAATAAAATTAACTGGAGTAGCTATAACAACATTGGTCACTCACTCAAAAGACAAGATTGAAAAGAAGAAGCTTTTACACACAAAAATGTGATATAAACGCAATTGGACCAGCTAAAAATAGAATGTCTTAGTCTCACCTATGCATACTAGCTTGTCCGCCAGTAAAATCTGATGCTGCCTGCCACAGAGTGTGCTTCCTTGGTTGCGGATTAGTCTCTCTGAAAAAAAGCGGCTGCCGAGACAACTGCCAAGGGAAAGAAATCCGAGTCGTTATAAAATATTATTTCAGTAAGTTCAAACGCTAAAATTAACAACACAATAGCAGTGTATTATCACCACAACATTCAAAGTCCCAGGACCATCATCCCCATAATTCGCCTTCAACGCCATAATATCCGACCACTGAATTTCGATTTTATTCTTGAGACCCCCATCAAGAACTTCCCACACAAGCTTATGCTTCGCAAAATAACATTTCGCCACTAAGTCCCCTTCGTGTCTCGATTTATACTGCAGTTTCCAACAAATCAATTTTTCGTAAAACATCGGATAAAAAGATTCAGCGCTAGACTACACTTGAACAATTTTCTGTACTACCTCCCATGCTCCGATTCTCAGAAGCGAGCCCGGAAAATTGGAGGCCTTCAACTTATCAGCAGAAGCTTTCGAAGCCTCTTTTCTACTGTGACTCCCAGCTCTCTGTGAGGTTGACTGAGACAGTTTCATCTGAATCAACTCCAAAAGAGACGGGCTTTTCCTGAGGCGTAAGCCCAACGGGCTCGGCTCGTCAAGAGGGTTGTACTGTGAGGGCGGCACTGATAAGCCGCCCTTCCCCACACTCTGCTGCAGCAAAAACAAAATCAGACAACATTAACATCTGCAAAAGCCCATTAAACTCCAACAGAGACCAAACAAAAACCCCATCAGGAAACAAAAACAACAAACGAACAAACAAAACTAAATCCAACGAACTGATAATTTGGTAACGGGCAAAGAACAAGTCGAAAAGATTCAATCTTTCCCATAAACTAGAACATTTTTCGGTGAATAACGAACTACAATTTAACTTCAAAAAAAATAAAATAAAATTAAATAAATACTTTAGGTCGCTTGTGAAGTGGGCCGTGCTCCTCTTCCAATGAATCCTCCAACTCCATCTTCACCGCCGCCATCTTTCGGGTCTGCGAGTCCGATCCGCCGCCGCCGTTCTTCATCAACTGCACCATCGGAATGTGGGCTGCACTTTACTTTCTCGATTTGACCTGCTTTTTCAAACTTCTTTGGATCAAAGACCCTTAGAGAGAGAGAGAGACTGCGCTTATGATTACAGAGATTTCTGGTGGCGTTCGTCCTATTTTTTCAACTTTCTATTTTTTCAGATTTATGTTGAAAAATAATGGATGGAGAAGAAGTTGAACGGAAGGGACGTTGGTTTATTCGGTAGACGGCGAGTCACACGTGTCGCCTCCATAGGGCGTTCAGGTTAAGGTGTCACTGGCACGTGCTTCCCGCACGCTCCATCTGCTTTAGTTGTAGTGGATCTAGTGGGTGTTGGATGCATAGTCCCGGACAGTATCCGGGTCATTAGGTCACCGGTTTAACTGCAGGGTCATCGAGTCAATTGTCGAATTGGATAATTAATTTTAAAAATTCATTAATTAAATATATAATATTTTTGACATATAAATAAATATTAATATAACAAAAATAAATATTTTGCATATAAAATTTGTACATTAAAGTGTTAAAAAATTATATCTTACAATAAATATTTTTACTGTATCAATATATTTACATAGTTTTTATTTTGTATATAAAAAAATATTTTAAAAAAAATAAAAAATATATAATGACCGGTCAACCGGGTTGACCAGTCAATTGTCCGGGTCGATGGGTTGACCGAATTTTGACCGGGTTCATTGTTATACGATCTAAATAGCCTACTCGGAATGGTTCTGACACCGGGTCGGCCGGGTCCCAAGTCGACCCAGCGGGCCTCTCCGAGTTGAAAAACAGTGGTTGGATGCTTTTTTTTCTCTTTTCTTTTTTCCGGCTAGATTATTTTATTTTATTCTCCCTAAAATAAAATAAAATAAAATTAGTCTAAAGGGAGTATGGGTATGGCTAGCTAATGTCGTCTTATTTAAATTGTATTGACAACTTGTAAAATAAGTATACTAAGTGTAATATTTTAATTTAAATAGACAGATGCTCCTTTTATTTTGTCAACTATGTTATAGTACAACTGGGAAATCTCCTATATTATATTATCTCAAAACGTTCTGAGTCTAAGTGGCAGGTTCGCATGTTTCGAAATCTTACATGCGGTAAAAAATTTAGAAGCAAAATTAGTTTGAAAAGTGTCATAAATAATTTTTGGGGGTGTCTATATGTACACCCCCTTGTGTGTAAAAAAGGGGTGTACATATAGCATTACCCTTTGTGTAATTTATTAAAAAGGGGTGTACATATAGCATTGCCCTAATTTTTACATCATACATCAATCTCTTTCATTTCCAAATTTGTTGTTGAATTTAAGGACCACACAAATATTTCTTTCCTTATTTCATTTTTCCATTTTAAAGATCATTTGAATTTTTTAATTGAGTTGACGGTGGATCTTTTTATTTGATTGGAAATCAATGTCGAGTTAACAATTTTTTATTTGATAATTGAATTAAAAATGTCTTATTTGATAATTCATTTTTTATGATATTCTTTTTTTATATATATATAATTGAGTAATTAATACCATGTCTACATCAACATTTTTATATTATTTTATTTAATAATTAAGTTAACAATGTTTCCAAATATTTGGCGAGTATATGGTAAAAAAAATTTCACACTCCAAAATCTTCAGTTGAATTTGAACGGGATTCTAACACCATGTTCTAACGGGATTTTTTTCCATTTATTTATTTTGTATATACTAATACTAAAACATTTTACTTTTTTTTCAAATTGTTTTTTCATGCACCTGTGTAGTACACGAGTTGTTGTACTAGTGGAATACTAAAGCTTAATAAAATAAATTACTCATAATGCAAATTTCTGTATGTGTCCAATGAGATAGAAATTATCTTAAATACACCATCTAATTTTTATAATTATTAAATGGAACACAGACGTGACCAGGTGCCGGGCCACGGTGATGAAGATCGTGTATCTGCCTCAACTCGAATTGCTTGAAACTCGCGCCGACGCCTTGGTCCCGAAGCGATAGGTTGCTAATACGCGCGCCGACGCCTTCGTACTTCGCGATAGTTGGGAAGAAACTCGGATGTTGGTCCTATTTCTAACACGATTTTGTATGAAACTCACACACAAGAGTTGGTGAACAAAGTTCGATTTTCTATTAATTCTTGGATATTCAAAATAATAAGACTACAAGAGTATTTATAGGAGAAACTAGATCTAGTTCTATGAGAACTATAATTCTAACTAGGAAATAATATATAGTCCTAAGAGAAAACTTAATCTCTTGCATCCCAAGACTTAACAAAATATAAAATACCTAACAATCTAAACAAACTATTCAGGGCACTAAATATATAGACTAAACTAATTACGCTAACTATAATTCTAACTATTACTAACCTAACAAAACACTAACCAAATAAATATTACTAACCTAACTACTTACGGCTAACAAATATATACTAACACTAACTCTTACTAACTAATCCTAACAAAAGGCTTCGGCTATTATTAAATAATTATTAAACTAACAAATTATCTAATCTAAATAATAAGTATCTTCTAGAATCTTCGCTCCTCGGCTCGCACGGCTCGCATCGTGTCTTTGCGCATCACGCCCGTGTACGCTCCCGCGTGCTATTCCTCGCCTCACGAGCCATCTCGAACCTTCTCGTGCGCGTGTCTCATATCGGGTCTCACCAAGTCCTCGTCGTCGACCTGCAGGGTTTCCAGGTCTCGGCCATGCGTGTCTTGACCTCGTGCGATAAGCCCGAGGCCATGCGTGTGTCCCCGACTCACGTCGCCTTCCTCGTGAACCTCGCATACGGGCTCGTACCCGTCTTTTAGACCATGCATGCGTGGTTTTGGCCCTTTTCTCGGTCCTCTCAGATCGTCTCGGCCATCGGCTCTCGACGTGCTCGGACCTCGAAAGCCACTTCCGCATCACACGGGCTCTCCAACACCCAGACCGCGACCGGCCTGCTAATCACCAAGGGATGAACCGGCCCAAACCGTCAGTTCACCGAACCGGTACGGCCCTTGAGAAAAACAAAGAATTTGGCCCAGCTCGGCCCGACCCGCTGGGCCACGGGCTCTCCAACACCCGGACCGCGACCGGCCCGCTAAGAACCAAGGTCGGTTCATAGAACTGGCCCGAACCGTCAGTTCACCGGCCCGGCGGTTCACGTGCCGGTACAGCCCTTGAGAAAAACAAAGAATTAGGCCCAGCCTGGCCCGGCCCGGCCCGACGGGACAAAAATAAAAAAATTTAACCGAGACCGAACCGCGGCCCTACGGTTCCGCTTCAACGAACTGGCCTTTAGGAGGCCGGTTCCGGGCCAGGCCGGTGTCGGTTCGCTTGCCGGGCCACAGGCCGGTCATGTCTAATGGAACATAGTTAATTTATATATAGAGTTGAAGTTATTGAATGAAGCAATAATGACTTTCGAAAAGTGTTTCACTCACCAAAATAAAATAAAGTTTTGTTTTTAGTTCCATTATTTATTTATTTATTTTTATTTTTATTTTTTTGGAATTGGAGTAAATACTATTTTTTTAAGAAAAATGAATTTACAATCAAATGGGCAACGAAAATTCTCAAGTGATTTTTCCATTCATTTTATCCCATAATGAAGTTTGAACCATCTCATCTCAAGGAGGGTGAGGATGAGCCTATCCTGTACAACAACATACTCAGTATATTCCCAACTGGTTGGGGTTTGGGGGGTCAGTTGTACGTAGACTTTACCCTTGTTTTTATACAAGGAGGCTATTTCCGTAGCGACCCAAAGTACATTGCGTCGTTTAATTTTTTTTTTTTTTTCTAGAAATTTCACTAACAGAAGAAGCACTAGAATTTAATTGAGTCATTTTAATCTAGTCCATTATTAGTCTATCCTTTATTTACTTAATTTATAAGTTTTCTGTATTCAAATAAATTTGATTAAGTAAGATTGATTTTTTAATAAAAAAACTCGAGTTTATATATCATAAGTTTTATTTCGAGTATCTTTTCAAATAAGCATTTTAAATTTTCATTTCATATTTCTTATCAGCTCATTTACCAACATTTTTTTTATCGTATCAGCTAGTTTTTCAACAATAAGTCATAAGCTATCATGTATAAGTTCAAATTCACTTATAAACCTTCAACTAAAATATCAGATATTCATCAAATATCAGATAGTTTATCAACTAAGTTCACCGATACACAATCTACACGAATAAAACCCATTTTCATTAGTAAATATGTGTGGATCCAAAATTTCAAGGTAAACTTTGTTACTTATTATCACTCGTAGCCAACACAATAATAAATAATAAATTAGATTTATGGTGAAAAAAAATCAACAAATTGCAAAAAGGAATAAAAAAGAGACTTATCCCACACATGTTTATTTAACAAGTTTATCCGAACTGGCAACCACTTTTTCACCTCGTTGACTTTCAATTCTGGAGGGCTGTTGTTGTGCGGTGGTCTGCGCGGGAGATTGAAAGTCACGTGAGCAGAGCATAAGCACGTGAGCAGAGCATAAGTGGATAACGTGTGGGCCCACTCCTTTTGCTTGAAGCTGGAGGGCTGCTGCTGTGTGCTTGAGTACAGATATTTCTGGTGGTGTTCGTCCTATTTTTCACCTTTCTATTTTCAAATTTACGTTAAAAAATATATACACAAAAGAAAGAAGAAATGGAATAATCTCTCCCTATATATTAATTCAAAACGTGTTTAGTCTAGGTGACAGATTCTCACGCTTCGGATGCTAACATGGCAAAAATCTATGCTTCGTGATGTTGTTTTTATATTATTTTTGCTCTGGAGTTACATATATTCATTAACTCAACACCCATGTTGTACATGAGTATTAATACTAGTAATGGATGAAGAAGAAGAGTTCAACGAACATAAAGACGTTGTTTATTGGGAGGACGGGGACTCACACGTGTCGCCGCACACTCGATCTGTTTTGGTCTCACTGACACGTGCTTCGTGTACGCTCAATTTTGTACGTAGGGCGTGAGTGTATAT